ATATATATATAGTTCATCGGATCCGTCCTAACTCCTCATTTAAAAGCCAAGATTCTAACTAATAATAAACTCAGCTTCACTAGATTTAATAAAAGTATACGAATGCTGATTTCAAACATTCATGGCTTCTATTACAAACATAATGGCTAGTTTAGTACAGTCTCATTAAATTCTAGCTCGTTAATTGGTTCATGATTTGAGGATAGTTTCATCGTAACAAATCTATCAGCTTCGAATTTGCTTTGTCCAAAATACAAAACATTATACAGCTTACCTTTGATTACATTCAGAATTCAAAATATTCTGCAGTCACTGATTACTTCATCAGGCATCACTTATCATCACAACTTTCGATTATGTATTAACTCCTTAATCAATACCCAGAATTCAAAATATACCCTAATCTACTTTACTCGAATATTTACATTTATTTATCCAGGCTTCAAAATATTTGACAGCCTATGATTCAAATATTCAACGTTCAATGTATAATCTCTTTCAATAGTCAAAATATTTTCTAGCCTTCGATTATGCATAACTCACCCCATTGAATATTCAACATCCAAAAGGGATCTAAAAAACCTGACTCATTCTAACAAATCGACCTGCTTCTATCAAAGTTCATCAGACATAACGTAACGAAAAAAATTTTAGAATCGCCCCAGAAAGACATTGACCTCGTACCTAAAGACCCGTGTGTGCCATCACCTTGCGGCATGTACGGAGAATGCAGGAACATCGGTGGTACAGCTTCTTGTTCCTGTCTGCCGAGATACGTCGGATCCCCACCGACCTGTCGACCAGAATGTCGAGTGAACTCAGATTGTCCCATGAATCTTGCCTGTTCAAACGAAAGATGCAGAGATCCTTGTCAAGGATCCTGTGGTGTCACGTCCCTGTGCACGGTTTATAACCACGTGCCTGTGTGCACCTGTCCCGAAGGATACACTGGAGACCCTTTCAGCAATTGCCACCCTGCACCCGTTAGACCAAGTAAGAAAATAAGAAGTGGAATTCATGAATGGGATTTTGTAAGAAATACGAGACACGTTTATTCCTTTAACAGCTGAACCAACCATAGTTGATCCCTGTGCATCGTCACCTTGTGGACCTAATGCACGTTGCGACGATGGAATTTGTACATGTTTGCCAGAGTATCAGGGAGATCCTTACGTTGCTTGTCGACCAGAGTGTGTGCTGAACACAGATTGTTCACAAAACAGAGCTTGTTTAAGGAACAAGTGTGTCGATCCCTGTCCTGGCACATGCGGTCGAAATGCACAGTGTTTGGTATTTAATCATGTGCCCATGTGCAGCTGTCCCAGTGGAATGGTTGGAAATGCATTTGTTCAATGCACTGTCCTTCAAGGTACTACTCCAATGGAATTTATTTTTGCTATCTTTAGTTCATATCTTTATATCGTAAATGGCCACAATAAATTAGATAGCGTTATACTAATTTGCCACGTTATAATTAATATTTGTAACACTAAACTGACTTATCATGGTACTTCTCTGAATATCTACGATACTGTGATAATGATAGATACCGTAAAGAGGAATCCCTGTTCGCCTACGCCATGTGGACCAAACAGTGTTTGTCGGCAAATCAATGAACAACCAGTTTGCTCCTGCGTGTCAGGATTTCTGGGTGCACCACCAACTTGTAGACCAGAGTGCACAGTCAGTTCTGACTGTCCTTTATCAGAAGCTTGTAGTAATCAGAAATGTATTAACCCTTGTCCTGGTTCATGTGGCTTTAGGGCCACCTGCAACGTCGTCAATCACAATCCTATATGCAGCTGTCCGTCAGGCCTCACTGGTGATCCATTTGTTCAGTGTATTCCACGACGTAAGACCTGTCTTTCGAACCTGTGATTCTTGAATAATATCTTTATAAAACAGAAAGATAATAGAGACCTGCGTTTTTAGCACCTGAGCCACAAGTACCACAGAACCCATGCGAACCATCCCCATGTGGACCCAATTCCGAGTGTAGAGTCGTCAACGATGCTCCCTCTTGTTCTTGTTCATCGGAATTCATAGGCACTCCACCAAATTGTAGACCTGAGTGTGTCAGTAATAGTGAATGTCCAAGTAATATGGCTTGTATGAATCAGAAATGTAAAGATCCTTGTCCTGGATCTTGTGGAGCTAATGCTGAATGTCGGGTTGTCAGTCATACGCCTATGTGTGTCTGCCCTAGCGATTATACAGGAGATCCCTTTACTCAATGTACACCCAGACCACGTAAGAATCCTAATTTTTATTCATTACCACATTATTATTGTACCCTTAGTAAAAACAGCGACCTGAATTGAAGTTTTTAATTTTGTATATTTTTCTAGCCAATAATTTATTTTCTAATCCAAATATTATATCTCTTATTTTTCAATTGATTTTTCTTTATCAGAATTTTTATTTATTGCCATAATTTTTATTATATCTTGCTTTCCGTGGTTCATTTTTATTATGCTTGAAAATTATTTTAAAATTGTACAAATAATATTTTACATCTTTTTAGCTGTCCCATTCAATATTTCTCCGTGCACCCCATCGCCGTGTGGTTTCAACGCTATATGCAAAGAACAAAACGGCGTAGGTTCATGTACCTGTTCGCCTGATTATATTGGCAACCCCTATGAAGGATGCCGCCCTGAATGTGTCATTGACACAGACTGTCCATCAGCATTAAGTTGCATTCGCTCTAAATGCCAAGACCCCTGTCCAGGAACCTGTGGCATAAACGCAGAGTGCAGCGTTATCAATCATCGTCCTGCTTGCACGTGTATTCAAGGATACAGTGGAAATCCATTCCAATACTGCATCTTGATGCGTGAAATAGGTACGAAGAAATTTTATACGTATATGTATAATGCAATTGCAATTGGACATACATTTACAATTAGGAAAACTCTCAGTTCATATATTTTCAAAAATCGCACGAAAATTTTCTTTTAATTTTAAATTAAAATCTTATAGAAGATGATATATACAAGGATCCGTGCAACCCATCACCTTGTGGACCAAATAGTCAATGTCGCGTAGTAAATGGTCAAGGAGTTTGCTCCTGTCTGCCAGAATTCACTGGCGTTCCTCCTATGTGTCGTCCTGAATGTACTGTGAACTCAGAGTGTCCTCAAGATCGCGCGTGCATTAATCAGAAATGTGTGAATCCATGTCCAGCTTCTTGTGGCACGTTCGCCACTTGTGTAATAAGAAATCACAGTCCAATTTGCGCATGCAGAGAATCATACACCGGAGATCCTTTCACTAGATGTTTCCCCGTTCCACGTAAGATATTTCAGAACAGTTCAAACCAATTTATACTACTTTTGAAGCTAAGTTGATTTCTGATATCATGATTGCCCTTTTAGAAGCATCGCCACCTGCAGCAGTTGAAGTTTCACAATCCTGTTTGCCTTCTCCTTGTGGACCAAATTCTGAATGTCGTATAATGAATGGTGGTCCATCCTGTCAGTGTCTACCTTCTTATATTGGAAGTCCACCAAATTGTCGTCCAGAGTGTACAGTGAACTCTGACTGTTCCCCTAATCAAGCTTGTATGAGACAAAAATGCAGAGATCCTTGTCCAGGTTCTTGCGGTTTCAATGCACAGTGTATGGCGTTGAACCATGTCCCTATGTGTTCCTGTTTGGACGGATACACTGGGGATCCATTTAACAGTTGCAATCTTGCTCCTGTTAGACCAAGTAAGACAATTTCAGAAAAGGAAGTACTTTTGATTAATTTTTTAAATACTGAGGGACACCTACATTTCCTTTACAGTTGAACCAACAGTAGTTGATCCATGTGCATTATCACCCTGTGGCCCCAATGCACGTTGCGACAATGGAATTTGCACATGTTTATCAGAGTATCAGGGAGATCCTTATGTTAGTTGTCGTCCAGAATGCGTACTGAATACTGATTGTCCTCAAAATAGGGCTTGTCTGAGAAATAAATGTATCGACCCTTGCCCTGGTACATGTGGTGTAAATGCAGAATGTCTAGTATACAACCACGTTCCCATGTGTAGCTGTTCCAACGGTATGGTTGGAAATGCATTTGTGCAGTGCACTGCGCTTCAAGGTACAATTAAAAGGATTTTCTAAGGACTTTCTATATGACACATATTTGATTCTAATCTAACATTTTTATAATTGTCTACCATATTTCCATAACAATAGATACCGTGAAAGAAAATCCCTGTTCACCTTCGCCATGTGGACCAAACAGTGTCTGTCGAGAGATCAATGGACAGCCAGTTTGTTCTTGCGTAGCAGGATTTCTGGGTGCTCCACCGACTTGCAGACCAGAATGTATAGTCAGTACTGATTGTCCTCTGTCAGAAGCTTGCAGCAACCAAAAATGTGCGAATCCCTGTCCTGGTTCGTGTGGATTCAGAGCTCTTTGCAACGTTGTTAATCACAATCCCATATGCAATTGTCCATCGGATCTCACTGGTGATCCATTTGTTCAGTGTATTCCACGACGTAAGATCGATTCCTTTCATTTGATTTCTCAAAAAAAACTTTCTGTTTTTTCTTAACAAATTTAATAAAAACAACTCATATATTTTTAGTACCTGAACCCGTAGTGCCACGAAACCCATGCGAACCCTCTCCGTGCGGACCCAATTCTCAATGCAGAATCGTCAACGACGCACCCTCTTGTTCTTGTTCACCAGAATTCAGAGGCACTCCTCCCAACTGCAGACCTGAATGTGTCAGCAATAGTGAATGTCCCAGTCAATTGGCCTGTGTGAATCAAAAATGCAGAGACCCGTGCCCAGGATCTTGTGGAACTAACGCCGAATGTCGTGTCGTCAGTCATACACCTATGTGTGTTTGTCCTAGTGATTATACCGGTGATCCCTTCACCCAATGTACATCTCGACCACGTAAGAATCAAGAAGTTTTTTTCGCAGTTTTCTTCATTTTTAATCCAACATAAAGTATCTTCAGGATATTAAATTATTTTCTAAAACGTTTTAGCTGTCCCAGTCAATATTTCTCCGTGCATCCCATCGCCGTGTGGTTTCAATGCTATATGCAAAGAACAAAACGGCGTAGGTTCATGTACATGTTTACCAGATTACATTGGCAATCCTTACGATGGTTGTCGTCCTGAATGCATCATTGACACCGATTGTCCATCTGCATTGAGTTGTATACGATCTAAGTGTCAAAATCCTTGTCCGGGCACTTGTGGAATTAACGCAGAGTGCAAAGTCATCAATCATCGCCCTGCATGCACGTGCATTCAAGGATTCAGTGGAAATCCCTTCCAATATTGTACACTAATTCGAGAAATAGGTATGACTAAAATATCAAGCATTCTTGCACCTACTTGTCACTTTTTTTGAGCAATGCAAAGGTAACAGTTCGTACATTTCGAAGATTATATATAACATATTGAAATCTTGTAGAAGACGAAACAGAATACAAAGATCCATGCAGTCCATCACCTTGTGGACCAAACAGTCAGTGTCGCGTAGCAAATGGTCAAGGAGTATGTTCTTGTCTCCCAGAATTCACTGGTGCACCTCCTATGTGTCGTCCTGAGTGTACTGTGAACTCAGAATGTCCTCAAGATCGCGCATGTGTTAATCGGAAGTGCGTGAACCCGTGTCCAGCCTCTTGTGGCACGTTTGCCAATTGTGTAGTCAGGAATCATAGTCCATTCTGCACCTGCAGAGAATCATACACTGGAGATCCCTTCACTCGATGTTTCCCCGTTCCACGTAAGACACAGTGAAACTAATTCGAAATATTTCAAAGTTAAACAGATCCCTCATTTCGTAATTTTCCATTCAGAAGCAACTCCACCTACAGCAATCGAAGTTTCACAACCCTGTCTGCCTTCTCCGTGTGGTCTAAATTCTGAATGCCGCGTGGTTAATGGAGGACCATCTTGTCAATGTGTACCAACTTATGTCGGAAGCCCGCCAAACTGTCGACCAGAATGCACAGTGAATTCTGATTGTTCTCCTAATCAGGCTTGCATGAGAGAAAGATGTAGGGATCCTTGTCCAGGTTCTTGTGGTACCAATGCTCAATGCATGGTTCTTAATCATGTTCCTATTTGTTCATGTTTCGATGGATATACCGGAGATCCTTTCAGCAGTTGCACTCTTGCCCCTGTTGAATCACGTAAGGATATATATAAAATAAAATTAAAATCTTAAAATTGTAATATGTTTGTGAAGCTGTTTTATTCTGAATATGTTTTATTTTTCGTAGCTGAACCAACTCTACTTGATCCTTGTGCATTGTCACCATGTGGTCCTAATGCACGTTGCGACAATGGAATCTGTACGTGTCTTCCAGAATATCAAGGAGATCCTTATATAGGTTGTAGACCAGAGTGTGTACTAAATACAGATTGCTCTCAAAATCGAGCATGCCTAAGAAACAAGTGTGTCGACCCTTGCCCTGGCACATGTGGTCTAAATGCAGAATGTTTCGTGTATAATCACGTACCTATGTGCAGTTGTCCTAGTGGAATGATTGGAAATGCATTTGTTCAATGTACTGTGCTCCAAGGTAGAGATTGAGAAATACTGTTTAAAGTACTAAATTTACCAAACTATCTTACACTCCTTTAAATCTCTACTATGTCATTATCATAGATACCATAAAAGGAAACCCATGTTCACCTTCTCCGTGCGGACCAAACAGTATCTGTAGAGAGATCAATGGTCAACCTATCTGCTCTTGTGTAGTAGGATTCTTAGGAGCACCACCAACTTGTAGACCAGAATGTGTAGTCAGCTCCGATTGTCCCTTGACACAAGCTTGTAGCAATCAGAAATGTGTTAATCCGTGTCCTGGTTCATGTGGATTCAGAGCCACCTGCAACGTTGTCAATCATAATCCCATATGTAGTTGTCCACCAGATTTGACTGGTGATCCGTTTGTTCAATGTGTCCAGCGACGTAAGATGTGTTTCTTCATATATGATTTCTTAAAAGAACTTCTACGAGACGAAATAATAATTATCCTCCATATTTTTAGCACCTGAACTCGTAGTGCCGGAAAATCCATGCGAACCCACTCCATGCGGACCCAATGCAGAGTGTAGAGTCGTCAACAGTGCTCCTTCTTGTTCTTGTCTATTGGAATTCGTAGGAGTACCGCCAAATTGTAGACCTGAATGCGTCAGTAATAGCGAATGTCCAAGTCAGTTAGCCTGTATCAATCAAAAATGTAGAGATCCGTGTCCTGGATCATGTGGAGCTAATGCAGTGTGCCGCGTTGTTAGTCATACACCTATGTGTGTTTGTCCTAATGACTATACCGGTGATCCCTTCACTCAATGTGTTTCTAGACCACGTAAGAATGGATTTTTTTTCAACTATTTAATTTTTCAAATATACGTAATTACTAAGAACTTCCATCTTTTAAAGATTTGATAGATCATTCTTCTGGTGTTAATGTTTCTGATAATTTTGAATCGTTTTAGCTGTCCCTGTCAATCTTTCTCCATGTAGTCCATCACCATGCGGTTTTAACGCAGTATGCAAAGAACAGAACGGAGTTGGGTCGTGTTCTTGTTTGTCTGATTATATTGGTAATCCATATGAAGGCTGTCGTCCCGAGTGTCTCGTTGACACTGACTGTTCATCTACATTGAGCTGTATACGATCCAAATGCCAAGATCCTTGTCCAGGCACCTGTGGTACGAATGCAGAATGTAAAGTCATTAATCACCGCCCTGCGTGCACTTGTATTCAAGGTTTTAGTGGAAATCCTTTCCAATTTTGCATCTTGATTCGTGAAATAGGTATGAATGAACGATTAATCGTATTTTATTAAATATCACTCTTATTCATTTATTAAATATCAAATTTCTTGCATTTGGTTAATTAAAATTTTATAGAAGATGAAACAAAAAACAAAGATCCGTGCCAGCCTTCGCCTTGTGGCCCAAATAGCCAATGTCGTATCGTGAATGGCCAAGCAGTTTGCTCCTGTCTACCAGAATACACAGGCACACCTCCTATGTGTCGTCCAGAGTGTGTTGTAAATTCAGAGTGTCCTCAAGATCGCGCGTGTATTAATCAAAAGTGCGTGAATCCATGTCCAGCTTCTTGTGGTATGTTCGCCTCTTGTGTAGTGAGAAACCATAGTCCAATCTGCGCTTGCAAGGAGTCATATACTGGAGATCCCTTCACTAGATGTTTCCCCGTTCCACGTAAGATATTTGAAAATCTCGGTGTTCAAACATTTACATTGTTTAAATACTGTACAATTTGTTCAAATATTGTAATTACTTTTTTAGAAACTACATCACCCACAGCAATCGAAATTTCACAACCTTGTTTGCCTTCCCCGTGTGGTCCAAATTCAGAATGTCGTGTAGTTAATGGAGGTCCATCATGCCAATGCTTACCAAATTACATCAGAAGCCCTCCAAATTGTCGACCAGAGTGCACAATAAACTCAGATTGTTCTCCTAGTCAAGCTTGCATGAAAGAAAGATGCAGAGATCCTTGCCCAGGTTCTTGTGGTGCCAATGCTCAATGCACGGTGCTCAATCATGTTCCTATATGTTCTTGTTTTAATGGATACATTGGAGATCCTTTCAGCAGTTGTTATCCCGTCCCTGTTAGACCAAGTAAGATAGCTAAAGAAATATAATTACGTTAAATGTGTGAAACGTTTGAATATGAGACAACAAATGAGAGACGTTAACTCCTTTCACAGCTGAACCGACTGTAACTGATTCATGTGCATTATCACCTTGTGGTCCTAATGCACGCTGCGATAGTGGAGTCTGTACATGTTTGGCAGAATATAAAGGAGACCCTTATATGGGTTGTAGACCAGAATGTGTATTGAACACTGACTGCCCTCAGAATCGCGCTTGCATAACAAATAAATGTATTGATCCTTGCCCTGGTACTTGTGGTCGAAACGCAGAATGTCAGATTTATAATCATGTACCCATGTGCAGTTGCCCTAGTGGAACGGTTGGAAATGCGTTCGTTCTATGTACAGTCGCCGAAGGTATAGCTAGAGATACCATTTTTTGAATTCTTAATTTTTATTGTTAGGAAATTGATGGTCATAATATTTTCATTTATTTCATTCATTTTATACTTGAATCATTAACACTAGCATAAAAAATTCTTATAATATTTCTCTGGATAATTATCATATTATTATCACAACAGATACCACGAAAGGAAACCCTTGTTCACCTTCACCTTGTGGACCAAACAGTGTCTGTCGAGAGATCAATGGACAATCAGTCTGTTCCTGCGTAGCAGGATTTATGGGAGCACCACCAACTTGTAGACCAGAATGTGTAGTCAGCTCTGATTGTCCTTTGACACAAGCTTGTAGCAATCAGAAATGTGTTAATCCGTGTCCCGGTTCATGTGGATTTAGAGCCACCTGCAACGTTGTCAATCATAATCCTATATGCAGTTGTCCACCTGATTTAACAGGCGATCCATTTATCCACTGTGTTTCACGACGTAAGGCTTGTTCCCTGAATATTTCAATGAAATTTTTCGAGACAATTAATCATAATTCACACATGTACTTTTAGCACCCGAACCTGTAGTGTCACAAAATCCATGCGAACCCTCTCCATGCGGACCCAATTCAGAGTGTAGAGTCGTCAACAATGCTCCCTCTTGTTCCTGTTCACTGAAATTCATAGGCATCCCGCCAAATTGTAGACCTGAATGCGTCAGTAATAGCGAATGTCCTAGTCAGTTAGCCTGTATCAATCAAAAATGCAGAGATCCGTGTCCTGGATCATGTGGAGCTAACGCAGAGTGTCGCGTTGTTAGTCATACTCCTATGTGTGCCTGTCCTAGCGACTATACTGGTGATCCATTCACGCAATGTACACCTAAACCACGTAAGGCTTAGAAAATAATTCTTTTTCTTTCCGATTAGGATTTTATCACTAGACTGCGGTTTTTCATGTAATTTTGCCTGTGATTTTGAAGTCCTAAATTGTACCGAATGCATATATTATGAAAAATTATATAACATATTCTATAACATTATAGATAATCTTATAAGTGTAGTTCCGATGATATATAATTTTTTAAATTATGTTCTTTTAAAATATGAATTTGCATAACGAATCGTAGTCTGTTAGTTACAAAGATATTAATTTTTTTCTGAGATACTAAATTACTGTTCAAAATATTTTAGCTGTTCCCGTTAATCTTTCCCCATGTAGTCCATCACCATGTGGGTTTAATGCTATATGCAAAGAACAGAACGGAATAGGTTCTTGTTCCTGTTTGTCTGATTATATTGGTAATCCATACGAAGGCTGTCGTCCTGAATGTGTCCTTGATACGGATTGTCCATCGACTTTGAGCTGTATACGATCCAAATGCCAAGACCCTTGTCCAGGTACTTGTGGCACAAACGCAGAGTGCAAAGTTATCAATCATCGCCCTGCATGCACATGTATTCAAGGATACAGTGGAAATCCATTCCAATACTGTACATTGATTCGAGAAATAGGTACGAGAAAATCTTCTCAAATTTTTATAAATAATTTTTATTTATTATTTTAATCACGTTATATTAATTCTACTAATTTTAACAAATTCTTCACATGTATAAATTTAGTAGCTTCTAAAAATCAGAAGTAATATTTTTATAAGTAACATTTTCATGATGTAAAATAGAAATCGAAATTTCTTGTAGAAGACGAAATGAAATATAAGGATCCATGTAGTCCATCTCCTTGTGGACCAAACAGTCAGTGTCGCGTAATAAATGGTCAAGGAGTTTGCTCTTGTCTGCCAGAATTTACTGGTGCACCTCCAATGTGTCGTCCCGAATGTACTGTAAATTCAGAATGCCCTCAAGATCGCGCGTGCGTTAATAAGAAATGCGTGAATCCATGTCCAGCTTCGTGTGGTACTTTCGCTACTTGTGTGATCAAGAATCACAGTCCAATTTGTGCCTGTAGACCGTCGTATACGGGAGATCCTTTCACAAGATGCTTCCCCGCGCCACGTAAGATAGCTCGAACATAATTTAAATTGCTTTAAAGTTAACGAGATTTCTTATCTTGTAATTTTTTATTTAGAAGCATTTCCACCTACAGCAGTTGAAAGTACACAACCTTGTCTGCCCTCTCCTTGTGGTCCAAATTCAGAGTGTCGTGTGGTTAATAATGGTCCATCTTGCCAGTGTCTGGCTACTTACGTTGGAAGTCCTCCAAATTGTCGACCAGAATGTACAATTAACTCAGACTGTCCTCCTAGTCAAGCTTGCATGAGACAAAGATGCAGAAACCCTTGTCCAGGTTCTTGTGGTACCAATGCCCAATGCACGGTTCTCAATCATGTTCCTATATGTTCCTGTTTCGAAGGATATACAGGAGATCCTTTCAGCAGCTGCAGCTTTGTCCCTGTTAAACCAAGTAAGAAATTAAAAGAAAATTATGATTTTAAAATTATAAAGAATTTGTAAGGTCATACGTCCGTCCCTTCTATAGCTGAACCAACTATAATTGATACTTGTGCATCATCTCCTTGTGGTCCAAATGCACGTTGCGACAATGGAATCTGCACATGTCTTCCGGAATATCAGGGTGATCCTTATGTAGCTTGTCGTCCGGAATGTGTACTAAATACAGATTGTCCTCAGAATAGGGCTTGTTTAAGAAACAAGTGCGTCGATCCTTGTCCTGGTACATGCGGCGTAAATGCAGAGTGTCTAGTATACAGTCATGTACCCATGTGCACTTGTCCTAGTGGAATGGTTGGAAACGCATTCGTTCAATGTAATATACTTCAAGGTAGAGTTTGATGAATTTTTTTCCTAACTCTAGACAGGATTCGTATCACAGATAGCTAATGTTGTTTATAACTTTATCACATAAAATATGAAATATCAAGTTGAATGCAATATTATACGATTTAATAATTGTAATAATGAAAGATACTAACTGGAGAATTGGAGACAAAGATCCAATAATATTAATTAAAAAAGAATTATTCTCGTTTGCAAAATTAATTGAAAAAAATTTTCATAATACCATTTCTCTGTATTTTTTTTATGGTACAGAAACTGAAAAAGGAAACCCATGTTCGCCGTCACCTTGCGGACCTAATAGTGTCTGTCGAGAGGTCAACGAACAGGCAGTGTGTACCTGCGTAGCAGGATTCCTAGGTAGTCCACCTACCTGCAGACCAGAGTGTATAGTCAGTTCTGACTGTCCTCTAACAGAAGCCTGTAACAATCAAAAATGTATAAATCCCTGTCCTGGTACGTGTGGATTTAGAGCCATTTGCAACGTTGTGAATCACAATCCTATATGTAGCTGTCCATCTGAACTCACTGGCGATCCATTTGTTCAGTGTGTTCCACGACGTAAGATTTATTCTTCTTATACCTGTTTGCTCACAAATTTTTACGTAAAATAATAAAGATACGTAAAATATAAAGATAACTAATGTCTCCTTTTAGCATCTGAACCCGTAGCACCACAAAATCCATGCGAAACTTCTCCGTGTGGTTCCAATTCAGAGTGTAGAGTCATCAATGATGCTCCCTCTTGTTCTTGTTCACCGGAATTCATAGGTGCTCCACCCAATTGTAGACCTGAATGTGCCAGTAATAGTGAATGTCCAAGTAACATGGCTTGTATGAATCAGAAATGTAGAGATCCTTGTCCGGGATCTTGTGGAGCTAATGCTGAATGTCGAGTTGTCAGTCATACACCTATGTGTGTCTGTCCTAGCGATTATACAGGAGATCCCTTCACTGAATGCACATCTAGGCCATGTAAGAATTATGAAATATTTTTCTATTTGACTTGGAATATATTTAAATTTCTTTCTTCAGTTTCTCTTTGATTATTTTATCATATTTTAGCGGTCCCAGTCGATCTTTCCCCATGCAGTCCATCACCATGTGGTTTCAATTCTATGTGCAAAGAACAAAATGGTGTGGGTTCATGTACCTGTTTACCTGACTATATCGGTAATCCCTACGAAGGATGTCGTCCTGAATGTGTGATTGACACGGATTGCACATCTACGTTGAGTTGTATAAGATCTAAGTGCCAAGATCCATGTCCTGGTACTTGTGGAACGAACACTGAATGTAGAGTTATTAATCACCGCCCTGCTTGCACATGTATTCAAGGGTACAGTGGAAATCCATTCCAATATTGTACTCCTGTCCCGATAGGTATGAATAAACTTTCAACAATTTTATCATTAACATGATAAATATTTTGTATATTCGGAATAAGCTTTATAAATAGAAAAATCAAGGTTTATTTGAAAGACTCAGAGACCAATCAGAATAAGTTTTTTTATATTAAAAATAGAGACATAGGATATAGACACATAGGATAATTGTTCGTAATATGTTTAATATTAAAATAAATTATACAAAGAAATTATTGAAGGTAAAAAGAAATATTTTTTTATTAAATATTGTTAAAAAATTTGCCTTTTTTAACAAGTTCTTTTGAATAATTTATTTTAATATTAAAACTCACATATAATGCAGACAATTAGTTCACTATTATGTCAAAATCTTAGAACAGTTCATTCATCATAATAACAATATTATAATAGTTATAATATAATGAATAAACTATTTCTGAAGATATTGACAATAAAATTGTACTTGTATAGTACAAGTCAGTTTTAATGAGAAGTAAGTTCATTAACTTCTGAGCCCTCCATTGATTTGTAACTAATTGCTACCAAAAATATTGTTCGTGGTGTAAAACAAATTCAAATCTTACAGAGGATGAAACGAAAAATAAGGATCCGTGCAATCCTTCACCTTGCGGACCAAATAGTCAGTGTCGCGTTGTAAATGGACAAGGTGTTTGCTCCTGTCTACCAGAATTCACGGGTACACCTCCAATGTGTCGTCCCGAGTGTACTCTAAATTCAGAGTGTCCTCAGGATCGCGCATGTGTTAATCGGAAGTGCGTGAACCCGTGTCCAGCCTCTTGTGGCACGTTTGCCAATTGTGTAGTCAGGAATCATAGTCCATTCTGCACCTGCAGAGAATCATACACTGGAGATCCCTTCACTAGATGCTTCCCAACTTCACGTAAGATATTTCGAAAGTAATTTAATCTTCTATCGCCGACATGAAGCCTGAATTTTATAGATAATCATCATTTTAAATTTCTATAAGTTCCATCATAATCTCAAACGAATAGTATCGGTGGTAGAGAATTATATTATTTTAAAGATAGATAAAGTCTTCATTGCGTCAATTTCCCATTTAGAATCAACACCACCTACAGCAGTTGAAGTTTTACAACCCTGTCTACCTTCCCCTTGCGGACCAAATTCAGAATGTCGCGTAGTCAATGGAGGACCATCTTGTCAATGTCTACCTACGTACATCGGTAGCCCTCCAAACTGTCGTCCAGAGTGTACAGTAAATTCTGATTGTTCCCCTAGTCAAGCTTGTATGAGAGAGAGGTGCAGAAATCCTTGTCCAGGTTCTTGTGGTTCCAATGCTCAATGTATGGTGCTTAATCACGTTCCAATATGTTCCTGTTTCGAAGGCTACACGGGAGATCCTTTTAGCAATTGCTATTCTGCCCCGGTTAGACCAAGTAAGAAAATTGAAAATACATTGTTAAATAGAATTTATGATGAAGAATTATGTTTAAAAAACACGAGAGATACATTTATTTCCTTCATAGTTGAACCGACTGTCGTTGATCCCTGTGCATCATCGCCTTGTGGTTCCAATGCACGTTGCAACGATGGAATTTGTACATGTTTACCAGAGTATCAGGGTGATCCGTACGTTGGTTGTCGACCAGAATGCGTACTGAATACAGATTGTCTTCAGAATAGAGCTTGTATAAAAAATAAATGTGTTGACCCTTGCCCTGGCACATGTGGTATAAATGCAGAATGTCTGATATACAATCATGTACCCATGTGCAGCTGTCCCAATGGAATGGTTGGAAATGCGTTTGTTCAGTGCAATATCATGGAAGGTACAATATTTTTTCAACCCTTAATTTACATCAGATTATTGGTTACAATACTTCACACACAATACTTATTGGACCAGAATACTTCCAGTTATGTCCGTGTATATTTAATTTTAACTTCTATTTTATAATTAATCACAGAAGTCTACATAAATCTGTTAAGTTTGATATATATAAAAAAAGAAGTATTTTGGATATTTTATGGATATTAATTAACTTGTTAAGCAATGTTGTTGAAATATTTTTTCTACATATTTGAAATTTGTCAGATGTATGTAAATTTTTATTTTATATATGATGTTAGCATCCACTATTAATAAGGTTTATGTCATGATATTTCAAAAGAATGAGACACTTTCGCGTATCTCTGTCAATATTCATAATTATGCCACAAATTAGGGGTTTTCGAACTGTCTCGACAGGCGTCAGTATACTAGTGTCCTAGTAAAGTGCCCTCAAAAATGTATCTTATTGTAATGATGACAGATGTTGGAAAGGAAAATCCTTGCTCACCTTCGCCTTGTGGACCAAACAGTGTCTGTCGAGAAATCAATGGACAACCCGTCTGTTCCTGCGTAATAGGATTCCTGGGTACACCACCTTCTTGTAGACCAGAGTGTACTGTCAGCTCCGATTGTCCTTTGACAGAAGCTTGTAACAATCAGAAATGTGTAAACCCCTGTCCTGGTTCATGCGGATTTAGAGCCACCTGCAACGTTGTCAATCACAATCCCATATGCAGCTGTCCACCTGATTTAACTGGCGATCCATTCGTTCAGTGTGTTCCACAACGTAAGACTTGTTCCCTGATATTTCAAATGATCAACGAAATTTTTCAAGACAAATAATCGTAATTCACACGTGTACTTTTAGCACCCGAGCCTGTAGTGCCACAAAACCCATGCGAACCCTCTCCATGCGGACCCAATGCAGAATGCAGAGTCATCAATGATGCACCCTCTTGTTCTTGTTCACCGGAATTCATAGGCACCCCACCCAATTGCAGACCTGAATGTGCCAGCAATAGTGAATGTCCCAGTAAGCTGGCCTGCATGAATCAGAAGTGCAGAGACCCTTGTCCTGGATCCTGTGGGGCAAGCGCTGAATGTCGTGTTGTCAGTCATACTCCCATGTGTGTCTGTCCTAGCGACTATACTGGAGACCCTTTCACTTTATGTTCACCTATACCACGTAAGAATGAAGTATTTCTTTTTTTAACTTGCAAAT